GCAGGACCAAGCACTCTTGTCCTCCTGATCATTTAACAGATTACACACTCTACCGCCATGGCCAGGGCCACCTCCTCTTGCCTTTTCTACATCAAATCTCACTCCGCTGACATTCCAAGGAAGGTGCTAAGATGAAGATCAAAGACAAGTCAGAGGCACCATCTGTTCACCTCTGCAGGCATCCTTTAGTGCCGGCCGCTCTACCAGTCACCAGAAGTAACAGAGCTTGGGGAGGGGAGACGATCACTCTTAAGGAAGGAAGGCAGGCATTGAGTTCCACTGTCAGTCACTGATGCCAAACCCAGCTAGAGAGAGAACCTGGACTGCATTAAAATGGAGCTTCTTTGGGTACAGTGTGGGAAAGCAAGAGGAAAGGTTTCTCCTCTCTCCCTAGCAATGGAGTCTAGCTGGGAAAGTCAAAGCTAAACTTCCCTCTCACCCCAGACGAGGGCCCTGCCTTCCAGGATGGGGTTGGTGGAGTGGTGTAGGGAGAAGACCAAGCCTGAAATGAACAGGGTGAATTCCTTTTCACATCCTCCCCCCAACAGAGCCACCTCCAGGGCAAGGTTGTGACTACAGCCCTACATGGATACAAAATTAGTATCTGTAGCCGATCCCCGATCCACACACATAGTCTGTGGCTAGAAAGCGGATATTGGCGGATTTTCAGGGCTCTAGCTGTGACCAGGTACACAAGGGGGAAGGATCTGACACTGCTCATGCATACAGGTGTCCACCTTTCAGATCCCGATCCCCAAGTTCAGGTGTGCTCTGCTCTGTGGGGGCAGGGGAGGGGAGGGAGCCTAGCATGGACGTCCCTGTACACATCTGTTTTTCCCCAACGCTATTTCAACAGGCACACCGCAGGCCAATTGTACGTCAAGTCAATCATCTGCCACAAGGAGACAAGCCTAGATCCAGTTGCATTCCCAACACAAAGCCAAGCCCCCGCTCTGGGGGCAGAGACTCATCTAATGGAGCAGCACCAGAGCCTGCCCCACTAAGGGCTGCACAGACAGTAACTCTGCACTGGGAAAGAAAGGCCCACGGCCCATTCGCCCTACCAGACGCAATTCATAACTAGCCTCTTCTAAGCTGTTGCTCCCCACATTGGCTTTTCCCCATTCGTTTCAGAGAAATGCCTTCCAAGCCTGCCAGATTTCACCATTGTCCACATGCTGGCTGGGCTCCCTGGCTTCTTTTAAGCACTGATGACAGCCTGAGGAGTCTGGATGGAGGGGAGCTCGGGGGAGTTGTATTTATCAGTCAGGTCAATTTTCAAAATGTGGCCAGTTTGGAGAAATCCACTGAGTACCTGGGCAGGCAGGCGATTTTATTAAAGGAGATGTGAACAGGAGTTTTAAACTTCAGCTTGCTCTTTTGGGGAGAAAGAAGGCCTGAAATGTACGCAGGGGTGCTTCTTTCGAATCTTAAAAACATCAGGGACATCAAGTCTGCTCTCCCCTAGCTTCACTGGAGCATCTCTCAGAGGCCCCAAGGATGGCTACTGACCGACAACTCCTGATCTGAAAGAGTGGTGGCGTTGACTAACTTCAGTGACCCAAGGAAGTTTTTCTTAAATAGATGTTGATAAAACAACAGACGTTTTAAACATCTGACTAAAAATCCCATCTCCTCTCAATTGCTCAAGTTTTACTCTGGATCTGGGTGGTGTCACCATTTCACTAGTTCTCCAGTCACCATATCTTTCAGTCTAGAGGATTTGAATTACTAAGGTAAAAAACAAGCAAGAAGAAGAAATACTTCGGGGGGGGGGGGAGGGGACTCTGCTGCCCTTCTGTATAAAGTTATTTTAAAAGGGCATACAGTACATTCTTTTTTGCAGGTCACCTTCTATTTACCTTTTAATTGTTCTGAAATATGGGGGAAATGGAATGGCTCAGGAATACCGGGGTGATTAAAATCTGTGTTTGCTACTCATTTGAACAGTGGCATGAACACCACAGAAAGCAGAGAGCTACACGAAGAGGATATAGAGTTTAGAAATATGGATTGGAAATAATGTGATTCAACCTGGAAAAATGCACGCAAACCTATCTGGTGGAAAACCAAACAGAGAGAGAGAGATGCCAGAGAGACAGGAGTTGGAAGGCATGTACAATAACTATATGGCAGAAGATGTAAATGCAACTGAGGAGTTTATTTATACCAGGTAAGCCACTATGAGATTACCCTGATCTTCCTGCATGCTTGAAAGGGAGCGAGTTTGCAATATGCAGAGCTGGGGGAGGATAAGACATGATCTATACCAAAAAGGAAAAGTCAGGCTATTTACTAATATAAAGGAGAACATGGATCAGATGGGGTTCACTTTTTCCATCACCTACAGTGCAACAGTTTTTAAAGAGGAGGGACAGGTTCCTCCACTACACCAAAGAACAGAGGTTGCTGAGTGATGCTGGGAGACTGGGAACAGATAGTATCTCTAAAGAAATTAAATCCACACGTGGTGTGGAGACAAACATACTGCCAAGCAAATCTGTCTGAGGCAGCTTTGACATTGAAGAGATTAAGTGGGGAAGGGTGACTGGGTTAACTAGAGACATTACAGCTAATGCTGTTTAGAGGCATATACTGTACAGTGTACAAAAGACGCATAACAGCATCTTTCCCCCACAAAATTCACCCCAAGGACTCCAAACCAATCTACACGGTTCTCCCCTCTGGAACCAGTATCTTCACCCATCTGGTTTGGGAAATGGCCTTTTAGGTTTAATTTTTGGAAGAAGCAATAAAATACTCTGAGACGTTACCAAAAGGGTTGGGTAACTGCAACACGCCGGGTGAGATAAAACTATCCCCCAGCCGTTGGCTCCCGGATCACGGCCTAGAGCCAACGCGCCGCTTTTGAGGAAGCAAGACAGGAAAAGACTCAAGGTGGGCAAACCTAGCGACATGTGGCTACACTTTGTAACGATGCTTCAGCTGCACGGATGCAACAAAACAGGCCCAAGCAAGAACGTGACAACTGTACGACTCTAGTCAATCCCAGAGCACCATCAACAAGGATGTTTGAGGAGAAAAGCAGGGCTGCACCTTTTAACTCCACTGAAAAACATGGGACTGGAAAAACATGGGAACAGCTGGCGTGTTTGGATAAAAAGCTAAAATAGACCCAGTGTGCGGGGAGAGCATGGACCGTATTATTATTACTGTTTATCATTCTAGCATTTCCACGTCTAGGTGCATTAGGTGCAGAAAAGAAAACAACACACCCTGTTCTCATAATAAAATATCCATTTGACTAGAAGGCCGTGAGGTTCATTCACAAGACAGGCACGATGGCCTTCCCCGCTAGTGTGTACTGGCCGACTGCCCCTGGGGACTCACTCCACTCACTTCCTGGGCCTCCTTTCCCCGAGAAGTCCAACTCTCGGGCATTTCAGTCTATGAGCAACAGGTGGTCCCAAGCCAAGCTTTGGAGGGGTTCTGGATCCAGATCCAAATGTGGATCCGGTCTCTGTAATAGGCTGCACCACAACCCCAGAGCCAAACACTTCCCAACTTTGGGAGCTCAGACCCATCTTTACCATAAGCGCGTTAGCCAGCAACATGCTCCGTGCGCCTGTTCATTGCTGTTACTCAGCGCCGAGGGATGCCATAGCTGCTGCTTGGGTGTGGACGCTGAACCGGAGCAACCAGGACCGTCACTCACCATCCACAGGGCTGCACTCTGGTGGCTCCGCTGCCTCCCAGGCAAGTATAGGGCTGTTGCTGTATACTGCTCTACCTGGTGACCTGCCCATGAGAGATCACCAAACAGCTGGGGCATGGTAGCCACAGAGGGAACAAGGAAGGGTAGGTAGCCTCTTCCCACCTCCCAGAGTGTGGGGAGGAGGCCTTGTGTGTCACCTCCTGGACATGCTGACGGCAGAGAATGTAAGAGTGAAGCTCTGTACCTTGGGGGAACACCCTGCACCCCCACGTTCATCTTTATCAAATGACTGTGTGGGATCCAACGCAAAGTTTGTCAGACGGGTGTCTTTGGAAGGCTCATGATGCACTGAGCATGGTTGTTATAGTGATGTTATAGTAATTGTTACAGTGATGTCATTGTGAGGTTATAGGTTATAATTTCATGTATGTAGGTATGAGGCTGAAAATGTATCCCCATGGCTTAAAGCAAGCCCAGGCAAAAACTCTCCAAGAGCAGAGAGGCAGCTCACACCTCATCAGGGCATGGATGGGACAAACCCAGCCCAGCCTCACAGGAACAATGGACACTGGCTTTGCCAAGCAACAAGGTTAGGCCCTGGAGGGAGTCACCCCCTTCCTTTGGGCAGTTTGGGACTATGATGAGGTAATGCTCACCTGACTCTGAAGTGGGGGGTGGGGGGGGCAAAGCCAGGAGGGAAGAAAGGACATGATAAAAGGGAGAGACATTTTGCCACGTTCTCTCTCTTCTGCCTACATCTACAGACACCACCACCACCACGCGACTGAACCACTGATCAAAGGGGAGAGTCTGGCTGAAGAGCAGCCAGCCTGTGGTGAGAAGTATCTAAGTTTGTAAGTATCAGAGGGGTAGCCGTGTTAGTCTGAATCTGTAAAAAGCAACAGAGGGTCCTGTGGCACCTTTAAGACTAACAGAAGTATTGGGAGCATAAACTTTCGTGAGTAAGAACCTCACTTCGTAAGGACACTGAAAGTGTTAAGATCAGCTTAGAATGCGTTTTGCTTTTATTTCATTTGACCAAATCTGACTTGTTATGTATTGACTTATAATCACTTAAATCTACCTTTAGAGTTAATAAATCTGTTTGTTTATTCTCCCTGAAGCAAGGCATTTGGTTTGCAGTGTGTCGGACTCCCCTTGGGAGAACAAGCCCGGTACATAGCAATTTCTTTGTTAAACTGACGAACTTATATAAGCTTGAAGCGTCCAGTGGGCATAACTGGACACTGCAAGACGGAGGTTCCTAGGGTTGTGTCTGGGACCGGAGACATTGGCTAGTGTCATTCAATTGCAAGTAGCTGGGAGCAGCTTACATGCCAGAGGCTGTGCGTGAACAGCCCGGGAGTGGGGGTTCTCACAGCAGAGCAGGGTCAGGCTGGCTCCCAGAGTCAAGGATTGGAGTGGCCTAGCAGATCACCGGTCCAGACAACACCGGAGGGGAACGTCACAGCAAGTGAGAGAGGAAGCCCAATTTCCTTGGAGGGGTAAGAAATGTAAATGGGCAAAGAGCAAAAGCTGAAGGGGGGAGGGCGGGGGGAGGATGGGAGACAGATACGGACTGGAAGGGAGAGAAAACAGGAAACATCCAGAAAGAAAGAGATTGGGTTGGAATGAAAAGGATAGTGTGGAAGTGCAAGATAGGAGAATATTTAGCACTTGTCTAAGGCTTTACATTTTCAAAGTGCTTTATCATCAGCTGCTGAATCCTCATGGCTGTGTGACATGGGCACACATAATCCCTATTTTGGGAAACTGAGGCAGACAGCCTCAAAACTGCACAGTGAGTCAGTGGCAGAACACAGACTAAAAATCGGGAGTCCTGCCAGAGCTGTGTCCCCACCACAGGACTGCGCTCTATGTGTATGCTCTGACAAACGTAGATTTTATTGTAACAAAGGGCTCTGGAACGGATTGTCTGTAAAAGAAAATGACACAAGAGCCCAGCGCAAAACTCAACGAAAATTTCGAGCATGCCCCCACGGCCCCTTCCCTTCCCTCCCCATCCACCCGCTCCACACCAAGGCTCCCCAGAGACCCTCACTCTTTGCAAAGTGCGTCCAAGCAACCCCCTCTCCTGGGCCTCTCACACCCAAGCAGAGAGACCAGAAGAAAGTTTAGTAACAACTATTTAGTCATCTCTGTGCCCGGACTCACTCAGCGCCAGCCCTGACTCCACCCCGCGGCAGGAGGAGATGCTGCTTCTCTCAAGGGGAGCGGAGACCAGAAAGTGAGAAATTCAGAGTAATTCCCTGTGCTGGGAGAGACCAGAAACAGCAGCCAGTATGGAAAGTGCGTGCCCTCTTTTACCAAAGCTGGGGCTCCCAGATGATGCTGGACCCCACATGGGGCTGCAGAACCCAGCCCTGTGTCTCAAATGCCACCACCTGGAGGAAGGAACAAAATCCGTACACCTTTAACAAGTGGACGGCAGCCATCTTGGTTCCTCGCTCTCCCCCTCCTCCAGGCACATCCCACATGATCACCCACCCACTTCGCACTTCGGGGGACTTCCTGGACTCTGCTCGCAGCCAAAGCATGACGAAGGGAGGCAGGAGGTGGGAGGTATGAACCCGATACTCTAAGGGCAGGAAGAACGGTACCTTCTCTCCTCTGTCTCCTCAAGTACAAGATCCCAGCGATGCCAAGAACATGACTCAGAATAAAGACCGTGGGTGGCAGAAAGGTCCCATCCAAAAGAGGCATTGTCGCCTCTCCCCAACCTGGGGGCCTCCGTCCCGTTTCCACAAGCCCTGGGTCCGGCTCTAAGTTCCTTTCTGCTGAGGTTACAGCTGCATGGTTCGAGCATCACAAGGGAAAGGCAGCGAGAGGCAGGCGCGGAGCTCACAGAAAGCCATCACCCGCGGTAACTACAGAAATTTCCTGTCGGTTTACACCAGGCAACTCTCCCTCTTGAGAGCTCCAGAGCCGGTCTCCCTCTCCCCCTCCCTAGGCAGGCCCAGTTACAGCTGAAGTATCAGATAAAGCCCCGGATCTCTCCACACGGGGCTCAGTGAGAGGGAGAGAGAAAGTGAGTGTCAGGCTGACTCAAACATCTTTCCTTGGCATCCACTGATGTGCTGAAGTGATCTGACTTCAACCCCCCTTCAAGAGAGGGACGTCATGCTCCTAAATTCCCATACCTAAGCCCATTGGAATGCCTGCTCTCCGCGAACACAGGCCTAGCCAGGGAAAGAGGACGGACTCTGCCAGAACAGTGAGCAGTGTCTGCCAGGGGGATACAGACTTTAAGGCCTGAGGCCTGTCTCCGGGGCCCAGATTGGCCTCGTCAGAAACTGTCCCTTCTCCTGGATCAGAGACTCAAGTTCAAGAGGAGAAAGGGGGGAAAAAAACACACCGTTATTAGATCACTTTTAAACATTTCCAGGCATGCTGAATGCAGGCATCGGGCTGATTCCATCACTGGAGTAGGCTGGGGCGATTCCTCTGACTTCCAAGGAACTGCACCCTGCTTACATCAGCACTGAATTTGGCCCGTCGTGTTCCCAAACCTTTATCTTAAAGATAAACTCTCTCACGCCGATTGGCTGTAGGACAAACCCAGTATGCTGCAGCTCTGGGGCCAGCACTGAACAAGGAGCAGCCGATTCAGAAACGAAGGTAGCAGTTTGGTATCTTTCAAAGACAATGGAGGCACACTGCATCCTTTGTTTGCACTGGCTACTCCGAGTCACCAGGCAGATTCGCCATCTGAAATCAGTGCCAGGCAAGTTACGAGACAGCGCATCATTGTTTCAAATAACTTGGTTTGGAGCCCACTGGAGATCATTTGTGTCTTTTAAGGACATCTCCTGGACAAGAACAGGAAACAACTGAGATCTGATAATTTTAGTGTCAGGACATCCTGCTCCAAGCAACAGTAACATAAGCAGCGAAGCAGTTGCCGCTTCATTTGAAGTTCTCTCTCACACGCACACACAAAAATACCAGGTTGGGTAGCCTGGGTCTCCATTGTTCCTCACTTCTGCCTACAATTCTCACCCACGTCCACTGGGCCCCTCTCCCTCATCATCCATTATGTAGAAGTGATGGTGCGTTTCACAGCGCAGGGTTGGACAATAAGCTGAGAGAGGAGGACTAACCCTACAGGCTGTAGTTTTTAGGGGGGGATTTATTGTTTGGAGGAGTCATTTACAGTCCATCCATTTCCTGTTTAATCTTGTACATTTGGGACAACTTCCATAAAGATACATGAACCAGGAAGGAAAATACAGAGCACACCATGCTGATGTTAAACCTCTCCACGAATAAAAATGGGGACAGACCACTTACCCAGATTGGTTGGATAAGCTGCCCAATAGGGAACAGATGGAAAAGAGAGGAAACAGCTGGGAGAAATGTAATCCATAGAGATGGGCCAAAGAGACTGGAGTTTGGGTTTGCAAAATCATACGGGTGGATCAAGCTTTAGGGTTGTACCAGCAGGGCGAGGTTCCAATCTTGGTTCAGTTTCATCAGAAACCCCAAAGTTCCGGGCAGGGCTTCAGATAAGAGCTGGGGTTTCCCCCATCTCTGTTGCAGAACCAGAATCACTGCAGATTCTGTAACACCAGAAGTAGGGTTTTGTCTGGATCTAGGTTCCATTTGATCTGGACCATGAAAGGCTTAGAGGGAAGAGTGTTTGGATAAAAGGTTCCAGTTTGGAGCAGCAATATGGGAACGAGCACATATGGCCTCATTTTAGCTCTCGTGTTAGTCATAGTGCTCCCAGCTATTTTAGTAGTTGACCATAGCTGGCGTTTAACTGGGTCTCTCTGATGTCCAATTTGCCATGACTGCACTCTGAATATGCAAAATGAGATGCATCATTCTGTGCAAAAGTCATTCTATTAAGAAAAAACAACGAGGAGTCCTTGTGGCACCTTAGAATGGGCATAAGCTTTTGTGGGCTAGAGCCCACTTCATCAGATGCATGGAGTGAAAAATACTGGAGCAGGTATAAATACATGAAAGGATGGGGGTTGCTTTACCAAGTGTGAGATCAGTCTACCAAGAGAAATCAATTAACAGCAGGATACCACTTGTCGACTGTCTGTAATGGGCCACTCTCTTACCACTTCAAAAGTTATTTATCCTGCTGTTAATTGATTTATCATCTCGTTAGACTGACCTCACACTTGGTAAAGCAACCCCCATCCTTTCATGTATTTATACCTGCTCCTGTATTTTTCACTTCATGCATCTGATGAAGTGGGTTCTAGCCCACGAAAGCTTGTGCCCAAATACATTTGTTAGTCTCTAAGGTGCCACAAGGATTCCTCGCTGTTTCTGCTGATACAGACTAACCCGGCTACCATTCTATTAAGAGTTAGTATCTAACAATGTGCTCTGGTTACTTGAGGTCTCATTGCTCATTCGCTTTGCACAGGTGCTGTTTGGGACAGAGAATCCCAAATAGCCAAGCCTCAAGAACGAGCTGCACATTGGGATCCTATTTCAAATCCTGATGCCCCAATATTTAAGCTCTCGCAGATCATTAATCTTTGTAAATACAGGCAGAGAGAATGGCGAGACCCAATTCTGGGAGATAGCTCAATTTCCCACCCCCAAGGTGATGCTCAGACTCTCCGATATCCAATTGTTCCAACCTCACTCCAATAAAGGCACCCTCTCCAAAGTCTACTGGACATGTGACCCTTTAAACAACTAATTTCCTTTTCAATGTGGATTTTCTGTTTTATTTTGTTTTTTAAAAAACAGATTCCGGCTCCGGTTTGAGATGCGGCTTGAAGGAAATGATCTGATGACGACGACAACAGTTGATCCTTCTGAAGAATTTTTGTACTGAAGGGGAGAGCCCTCACCACCCCATTAGCACGCAAGCCTGTTCCTTGTAAGTAGGAAATAAATGCATGAAACCACTAACTCAGACTGCCCTCGCCTACAACATAACTGAGACAGGAACTTCTGCTCACTAAGACCGAGAATTGAGAGCTTCCCACGTGATCAGAATCTGTCTCAGGTTTGATTCAATCAGCCAAAGTGACAATGCTGCACACAATTGTTAAACCAAGAGAGCCTCAATCCATGTAACAGCCTCAAGCAAGGCCAGAGGCCGACCCGCCCAGCAGCACTTCAACCTCAAAACCTCACTGTGCTGCCAAAACCGGCAAAAACATTATTCTGTATTACACAGAGTAGCAGCATTTCATTCATCCCTAGCAACACAGAGGTGGGGAGACTTGCATGCATTAGATGCTTGGAACTTCCCTGAATCAAAATGTGGGCTCACCTCCTCCTACACACTTCATGTGGAGACCCACCATGGGGCAACAGGTTCATTCCTGCTGTGGGATGTTTTCAAGAGCTTTGTTCTGTCTGACTTCAACTATCCCAAGAGACAGGGCTTCCCCACTCCCAGAGGGATTATTCCACAGTGTCTGGGATTGTCCTTTTTTACAATGCTGGGTGTTTTCGGAGGAACAACCTGTCAGAAAGTCTTCCTCATCTTCCGTCTATGTTGTCGCTAGCTCTCTGTGCCACCCTAAACAAACCCGCTTCCTCCTTGGTGATGCTACACCCACCTCCTACTTCTGAGGTATTGGGTGTCCCCTTTTCTGTCGTAGCCAAACTACACTGATTGAGCTGTTCTAGGCTCTCCAGCATTGCTATCACCCCCGGTTGGAGCTGGGCAAGGAACACGGTGCTCATCAAGGCACTGTCCGGATGATGCTGTCAGTCTCTTGGACAGAGGGCAGAGAAAACAGGAACACAAGCGTGTGCACCTTGATGTACACGATTTAAACATGAATTTGATGGACCCCCTCCATAGTTAAGGCTCGAAATGGGTGCAGGCGCACAGCAGCTGTCCAACGCGACAGGCCGTGTCCGAAAGCAGCAACGCTGATGCATCTAAGAAACCCCTGCAATTCTCTCACCTCCTGTTGATTTTTACACAGACGGGTCAAATAGCCTGGCCTAAGGCAGGTGCGATTAGGCGACAGAGTCACCTGGCCAGGACTAGCAGTGCTTTCTTTGCCCAGGAGAGCAGAGCCTCCATAGGGACCGGAAACGGCAAGCTTCTGGCACCTGGTAGAGGAGAAACAGAACGGGAAGGTGCTCGCCAAAGGCTAGAAACGGAGAGAGGGAAAGGCAGGTGCAGTGAGAGAAATGAAAGACAACTCTAGCCACCAGGTTCTGTTCTTCCGGAGAGCGGAGCTCCATCTACGTCCCCCCCATCGGTGTTCCACACAACGCCACATCCCTGAGAGTGACAGAGCCCGCCGTCCAAGCCGTAGGGAACAAAGGAGACACCCGGAGAATTTAGGAAGCTCATAGGATCCCACCAGAACAGCAGCATGGCAGAGAAACAGCCACCACGTCCACAGAAATTCACTCTGTGTAACAGAGAAAAGGCTGCAATGGAGGCAATTGCACAGACTTCTAGGAGGCCTTCCCATGGGCTGAGTTAGGGCCCATGTGTGTGCATTCCTATGGCACTGTTCACAAACAACCGGACTGCCAACCCCCGGCTTTTCAAAATCTGAGTCAGACGGCCCAAAATCATGACATTGGCTTAAAAGCCCTAATACTTTTCAAAATAACCCCCGGTGGGTTCCTTTTATTCATCGTCTAGTGTCTGGGTCACGTTTTCAAGTGTCTCTCTGCAACCACGAGGCCTAGAAACTTACTTCTTTAAAAACAAATTGAAGCAGAGGTTCTCACGTGATCAGCTGCAGCTCCCCAAGAAACACCAAATGTGAGACTCACGTGAAAACGGTGAGAACGGGCCACGTTGGCTTAATAACCATAGAGCTGAGAATGTACAGGAAGGCAGAGCGCGGCACGAATAGAAAGGTGGGGAGGAAGAGAAAGGGAAAGACGGAGGAGGGAATAAGAGAGAAAAGGACAATAGCAGAAGCAATAAGGTAACGGATGCAGGGAGTAAAGGAGGGAGGCGGCAGCCGGCTGCAGGGAGGGAGAGCTCTGTCTCTTTGCTATGGTGTGTAATTAACTGCTCCATCATCTAGGGATGTAGACAATATGGTAAGTAGATACTGTGTGCTGTGCCACCCCCTGCCACTTCCAGCTCCCCAGCGGGCCCTGCCACCCGCAGCAGAGATGGCACTGACTAAACACAGCGCCAGAGGGCACAGAAGGGCAGCAGTTCAAGTCCCAGATCCTCCAGCCATGCCGTCTTGTCCCCCTGCAGTGGGCAGAGCGCCTATGTTTCTGGAGCGACCCAGCTATCTCAGCTCACCGCAGCCCCATGGGAACAGCCAGGCCAGATTTGAAAGAGACAGGCCGATTGAGCCGCCAATCGGGTTTCAGAGGGAGGACCAGACGTAGCAGACGTATCAGTCGATGTGAACATTTAATCTGCTAACCCCTTGTGTCCTTTCTTTGGAGCCTGCAGCAAGTCGCCTGCCTCAGCTGATCCATGTCCAGAACAGGCCCTTACAGCCAGCACGGGAGGGATAGCGCAGCGCAGAGGAATGAATTATGCCCTTAAGGGGGCAGTGCACTCTTCTGCAGAGTCTGGAGCGAGGGACAATGCTGGTTATCAGGAGCACGGCTCGCCAGGGCATGCCTACGTCTGGAGCGGGCGTACTGCATGGAGCTGAGTGAAAGGACCAGAATGCACTTAATTCCACTCAATTTAACTCCATTTGCTTTTTCTCTTTTAATAAAATAAAAATATCGACTGCATTCAGCATAAGCGAGTTTCAAGCGTTTTCTGGCTGCTGCGAGAAACCGATAACGGGCTGTAATTCACCCGGCTGCGGGTGACGCATCTGGACAAGGAGGACGCAGGAAATACTGGGAAGTCACAGAAATCTTATCTTTCACTGCGCTGTCACAGACTGTCAGACACTCTGCAACGAGCCAGCTCGGGGGCTCCGGAAACGCCAGCCGGACACTCCAGGCCCTATTCAGAGCCCGGCAGTAGCACTCAGACGGTGGTAGTGATAGGAGCCATGCCAGATAGGGCCCTTCTTACACCGCCCAGCCATGGAAACCATTCTACACATACAAAAACAGACAGCTAATTTTAGGTGCCTTCACAGCGACTTCTCAGGCCGAGACGGCAGTCGTTCTACTGGAAAGGAAATGGATGGGGGAAGAATGTGCATCTTAGAATTAAACAAGAACCCGAGGAGAGAGAGACAGAGAGACGTTGACTCCACACATGGGATTGTTCTGTGCTTACAGCGTTGTCTAAAACAGGCCCAGAGCAAACTCCAAATGCAAACCAATCCAGGAGCCGCAGCTGGGTTCTGTCACCACAGTCCTGTGCTTCTCAGCGGGGCCCGATAGCTTACTTTATACCCTGCATATCGCTTCTCTGAGGCAGGACACCATCTCACCCAGAGAACCAACATTAACAAGTGCGGCCCCTCCTACCACGCCCTGTCCTCCAGCTGCCCCTTTTCTCCCCTATTGTAGCCCTATTCCCCAGGGATTTTCAAGCCACACCTGCAACACATCTCTTTTCTCCATGTGTAGTCTCTTAATTTCTCCCTCTGCTAGTCCTAGGTGGAGTATTTTAGATTATACAGTGTTCTTCTGCAATCGTTGGCTCGGTTCCCGAATTCTGTCATTATACACATCCATAATGCATTGTGATTAATCGAAAACCAATTCTACTCTGCCTGAAAATACCGCCTTTCATCAGAGAACCTCAGCACGCTTCACCAGTCCCACTCTGTCCCAAAGGGAACCAGGGCTGGACTTTTAAGTAGGACATGCACCCCACAAGCACAAACCACCACCACAACCACCCCTAACTGCTGTTTGTGCTATTCATCCCTAGCTCTCCGAGCGCTTTACAAAGGAGGGTAGTCTCACTCTCCCCATTGTACAGATGGGGAAACTGAGGCACAGCACTGTGACATGACTCACTCAGCCAGGCCAGTGGCAGAGCTGGGAACAGAACCCAGGCCTCCTGAGCCCCAGTCCTGTGTTCTGTCTACTGCACGATACTGCCTCCCATCCATCCCCTACGGACCAGGGCCTGAGGCAGTGCCCAGTGAATTCAATGGGAGCCTTTCCATTCATTTCAATGGGCTTTGGATCAGGCCCTAACGTAAACAGCCAGTGGGGACGCTCCCAGCCGAGGGCCTTGTCTCATGCACAAACACAGGACAAACCCATTTCCCACTCTGCCCCTCTGCGCACGGCCCAGGGTTTAACAGAGCAGCAATTCCGGGTGAAGGTCGCATTACCCCCGTTTTACAGAAGGAGTAACTGAGGCACAGAGAGGTGAAGAGACTTGTCCAAGGCCATACGCTGAGGCAGCGGCAGAGATGGGAACAGAGCACAAGAGTCCCCTCTCACCGCCATCACCACCGGACCATGCAACATGTCGTACAGGTAATTACAGCACTCTCCTGGGTTCCTAACATCACTGTTTCTGGCCCCTAGGCACTTCCAGCTCATAGCAGGGGATGACAGCAGTCCAGCTACGGAGGGGGCCTGTGCCCAGCCACATTATCCCTGCCTCACAGTGCCGCCTACAGGGAGAGACTGGGACAGCTGACCAGGTATCCCAGGCTTCAGCCATCACTGGACTGGTACATCCAAACTGGGGACATTAGCAATCTCTACAGATAGGTACCTAACTTCAGCCAGGTCCCCGCACAGCACCGCTTCCTCTGCGCCCACAGGCCTCCCCTTCCACTCAACAATCCCCTGCCCTAGTGCAGTCTTTCCATTCCAGAGCAGAGTCATGCCTTGGCTCAGGCCAGACTGTGGGGGGCCTCAGGCCAAATCTTGCCCCTTTCCTGGGTGTTTTCCTGGTGAGTAATGCTTCCCCTGCATTCCCACAGTGGCTGCCGGCTTACACAGCATCACATCTCCTTATATGACTCAGGAAGTCGCCTGCCAGCAACTCAAAGCAACCAGAAAGCAATCGCTACCCTGAAAAAACAGGGGCTCTGCTCCCAGCCCCTCACACAGAGAGGGGGCAGATGGTCTATAGCTCCTAAGCCACCCTGCTCACCTTTCTGCATGCCAAAGGATGGACCCGGGAGCCAGGGCAGCTGTAATGAGGGTCTACATACTCCCCCGAGCCCAGGGCAGCTGTAATGAGGGTCTACATACTCCCCCGAGCCCAGGGCAGCTGTAATGAGCTCTCTCCATAAACCATATTCTCTATTGCAAGCGGTTGGTTGCCCCCAGCCAATGGTTGCAGTGGACTCACTTCCTGTCTGGTACGCTGCATGGGGAAGGGACCCAGGTGCATTCTCCGCCCAAGGCAGCTGTAGCAGGTTCCCGCCCGACCTAGTGTCAGACACAGGAAGTGACCCCAGGCCTGATGGGCGCAGGAGCCCCGGGCTCTGCCCCCCTACCTTGTATGCTGCACAGAAAGGGATGTAAACAAATGTATATTAATACAGTACAGAAAGGGATCCCACTGCCCACGCGCTCAGTGCATTCCCTCCCGTGGCCGCCAGGTGGTGCGGCAGAAACACCAAAAACCACAGCATCTCTGATTCAGGGAAACCGTCAGACAACAGCTCCCGCTTCTGGCTGGCGACAAGAGAGAACAGAACTAGCACAGAAGCGGAAAGATTCAGCCTAGTTTCCAGTTCGGACACATTTGCACAATGGCCGGCGCCTGGCTAGCAGCGGAGCTGCATATTAAATGGATGGAGGTGGAAAGAAAACCCCACCAAAGATGATCAAGGGGCTGCAATACAGCTCCCATCAGACCCAGACCCCAGTTACTCCGGTAACCCCTCCTCCCCCCCTCAGCTCTTGCTCTCAAGTCTGCAGCACCCTGGGAACACAACGGCCCTTTTCAATAAGCACAACCAGTCGAGACTATAGAAAAAGGCTCCATCTCCTCCAATGTATCATGCTGAACATAAAAACAGCCACGAATACACTAGGGAAATTCTTGTCCCTTGGCCGGGAAGGCAGCGAGGATACAGACGCTGCTGTATTCATTTGACGGGGGGATTTCACTACACAGAACAATGGGGAGGAATCACACACAGCTGAGTCATTCCACGGCTCGCCCGGAGAATACTCGGATCACTATTCAGTCTGGCATCTTTGCGATCATCTAAATCATCTAACACAGGATGTTGTGTTTTGCAAAAGTCTGTGTCTCAAACAAACACCACAATGGCTCCTGCTTCCCCCCAAGGAGCTACCAGGTATCCCTGTAACCCTGAACACACTTTCCTGTTTCATTCCAGGAAGGGCCGTGGGCAGCCGCTGTATGATGAGCCACCAGCACAAGGGCAGAATCCAACTCATGTCTTCTGACTCAGCTCTCCTCCGGCATCTTTTCCACACCCCCAGGCCTTTTTTAGTCTTGACACTGCAATGGTGCTGACTGAAGACGTAACTCGTGACTGACTGGACAGAATGACAAGGTTTGGAGACACCAGCAGGCTTCCCATGCGTAAAGAGCCTCTCTTTTCTTTCCCTGGACAGCTTTCTCCTCTGGCGGGTTTGGGGCATTTTGAGAATCTCTGCCATTTTACGGCAGCTGGTCAGAACCTCCAAGGGACACAGGATGGAAGGGGCCACTTGAGATCAGGAACGCCCAGCTCATCCTGAAAGAGCGACACCATTTCGCTTCTCAGAAGCCTTCCCCTTGGAAGCAAGCAAGGGCCAAGTCAACCCTGAGAAACAAAGCAGCCTGGGGCAGTTGTTTTTTTCAGGGCTTCGCCCCTCAGCAGTCAGAGGTCACTGGACAGAAGCACACGCCTCACACAGGCACAGAAAAAAAAATCAGTTCTCTGCATAACTCACCAACATGGCAACCTAAGCACCTGACCCATTCCAGGACTCCAAACCTTCACTAACACACATGAAAAACCCTGGAATCTGATCTCTTCCCTGCATGACTGCACCTCTCCACTCCTGTAGACTTCATCCTCAGGCAGACCGGTAACCCATCCACCCTCCTGCCCTCAGGGTTTCTAGCACTGTGGGAATGAGGAAGGAAGCCCGGGCAGCTGACTGAGGTGCCAGACTCAGCTGGGATGTGCTTTATCCCCAGGACCAGGCACCCACTGCCACGGCCCAGGCAGAGATGCTGAGGGGAGCAGCCCTGGACCTCGTCAGCAAAGCAGAGCAGAGCCCCTCTGGCTTGGCTTCTAAATATCTCAGTAGGCTGCAGTAACTAAACATGAGTAAAGGCAAACACCGCACCTTCCCAGCAACTGTCATTAGAAACAGGTAAACAATGGAGCAGTCAGTCAGAGGTAGCAAGACAAAGAGACACCTCCATGAACAAGAGACAAAGCACCCTTGGAAAAGGCAGTCTCTCTCTCTCTCTCTCTCACACTCACACACACACACACAGCAGCAAACCATCTGGCATAAACACAGGCTCTCTCTGACACACACACTACACCCTCCTGCAAGCAGAGACAGGACTGTGAGCCATTCCAAGGCACACGAGCCATCACCACCCCTGGCACTCGTACCGGGAGTTATAGGAAAGAAAATGAAGAGAACAAAGCTGACATTCCCTATGATCTATGTTGTTTAACGGGAGATGAGCAGACCCCGGCGAGCGCTTCCCTTGGGGCCTGCTAGTCTGGCAACTACCCACCAGTGCATTCTCTTTGAAATTCCTTTTACTGCAGGTGAATCACCAATTCCTACATGCACAGACAAAAATCCTGTCTTCCTCCACTTATGTCACCACCTAACAAACACGAAGGAAAGAGCGCAAAGGAGCAAGGTGTGGCCTACCTCCATCTCCAGATGCGTTCTCCCGGCAGCCTTACCTACTCTGCAATAAATGACTAACAAACACATTTGCTTCCCCCAGTTCTGTCCAAGTGACAGCACCAACACTGAAGAACTTGTGCCATTAAGGTGCCAGAGACCACCGTGTGGTGCAGTCCTGCTCTGAGCCATGTTAGATGACAGAGTGCAGAATACCTGGAGGCCTCACCATGCTAGCATTCTCATCATCGCTACAACTGCCTGAGCCAAAGCTACAGGCAGCAAAGCAAATTTTGGGAGGGAGGAGGGGAAGAGGGGGAAGGATTTTCCCAGCATAGATGGGAATTATGCACCTCGGTGCAGTGACCTTGCAGAACCAGGGCTCAAATGCAGACTCTCTTTCAGACTCTTGGCCCGGCAGTAACTGCGGGCTTTTGTGACACCATGATGCTTCTCACAACTTTTCGCACTTCTCAGCAAAAACCCGAGCTGCAAGGCGTTCACTCGCGACTCGCCCCCCACTCTCTTTCTGGTTGCTGCTCTAGGTAGCGCTGGGCAGAGTTTCCCTGTGGCAGGAGCAGAGGAAAAACGGTTTCAGGAGGCACCAGCCATTTTTTACTAACCGCTTACAAGCTTTTAAACGGAATGTTCCGCTCCACTGCGAGACCATTGGGAGTGAATGTTTAACTGCAAGGATCCCTACCCGAGGCCAGCTGAAGGGCTGCAGTTCCACCAGCAAAGGCCAACCAGACAGAAAGCAAAACACCCTCCGACAGGAGGAAATATTTCAAAGCACCACACAGGGAATTCTCCCTCCCACAAGTCTGACCAGCCCACCATGCTCTGAACTGAGCAGCAATGGACAGCCCTCGGACATTAAGAGATAAACCTGCCAGCTGTCCAACAGGCGGTTAACATTAAAAAAAAACAAACCTGAACTCAGAGGAACTCTGGCAGGGAAGTTCCTGGAAATAAGGACTGACACGCTTAGCATCAATTCCTCTTTTCAACAGGTGCTTGGCACCAAAATAATGATTATATTTTTAAAAGACTTCCCTTTCCAACATGAAACTGACCAGTCTAGACACACACAAACTGCAGTGCCTTAACCACAGGTGCAATGTTGCATTGGTTTAACTACATTCGAGTTGGCAGGGTCTGCTGAAATTCATCCTAGGGTACATAAGGAACTAGCTAAAGCAATCTTAGAACTCTTAGCAATTATCTTCAAGAACTCATGGAGGACGGGTGAGGTCCCAGAGGACTGGAGAAGGGCAAAAACAGAACCTAGCTTTTAAAAGAGGAACAAAGAGGACCTGGGGAATTATAGACTAGTCAGCATAACTTCAATCCCGGACAGATACCGGAACAAATTATTAAACCATCAATTTGTAAGCACCTAGAGGATAATAGTGTTATAAGGAATAGCCAGCATGGATTTGTCAAGAACAGATCATGCTGAACTGACCTAATTTCCCTCTTTGACAGCATTACTGGCCTAGTGGAGAGGGGAAACCAGTAGATGTGACATATCTTGATGTCAGTAAGGCTACTGACACAGTCCCACATTACTTTCTCATAAGCAAACGAGAGAAATGTGATCTAGATGAAATTACTATAAGGTGGGTGTAAAACTGGTTGAAAGCGTAGTTATCAATGGTTTGCTGTCAAACTGGGAGGGTGTATTTAGTGGGGTTCCACAGGGGGGTCAGTCCTGGGTCCAGGACTAGTCAATATTTTCATTAATGACTTGGATAATAGAATGGAGAGTACGCTTATAAAATCTGTGGACACAAGGCTGGGAGGTGTTGCAGGCACTCTGGAGGACAGGATTAGACTTCAAAACAACCTTGACAAATTGGAGAATTGGTCTGAATTCAGCAAGATCAAATTCAATAAAGATAAGTGCAAAGTACTTCACTTAGGAACAAAAAAATCAAATGCACAACTCAGAATGGGGACTAACTGGCTAGGCAGTAGTGCTGCTGAAAAGGATCTGCGGGTTGTAGTGGATTGCAAATTGACCATGAGTCAATACGTGATGCAGCTGCGAAAAAGGCGAACGTAATTCTGGCGTGTATTAACCGCAGTGTCGGAGGTAAGACATGGGAGGTCATTGTCCCACTCTGCTTGGTACTGGTGAGTGCTGTGTCCAACTCCCGGCAACACACTTTAGGAAAGATGTGGACAAATTGGAGAGTGGCCAGAGGAGGGCAACAAAAATGATAAAAGGCTTAGAAAACCTGACCTCTGAGGAAAGGTTAAAAAAAAACAAAAAACTGGTCATGTTTAGTCTTGAGAAAAGAAGAGCTGATAACAGTCTTCAAATATGTTAAAGGCTGTGACACAGAGGATGGGGATCAATTGTTCTCTGTGTCCACTGAGGGTAGGACAAAAAGTAATGGGCTTAATCTGTAGCTCAGGAGATGTAGGTTAGATATTAGGAAAATTAGTTAAGCTCTGGGACAGGCTTCCAAGGGAGGCTGTGGAATCCGCGCACTGGTAGTTTTTAAGAACAGGTTGGACAAACACCTGTCAGGGACGATCTAGGTTTACTTGGTCCTGCTTCAGTGCAGGGGGCTGGACGACTTCTCGAGGTCCCTTCCAGCCCCACTTTTCTATCGCTCTAACCCTCACTAGTGAGACAGAGACGTCTCAGGGGGCAAGAGGTCTGGAGCACTGGGAGATTGGGGCACAGAGGCAGCTCGCTCTCAGAGTAGGGCAAAGGGATTCCTGTGGGACAGATTCCTGGTGGCTGTTACCCCCTGGGCTGGGCCTGAAATGAAGCAATAGGTGAAACTGATTTCTGCATGATGGTGTAACAACAAGTCAGCAATGTCTTTCCCCCACATTCCTCTAGCTGCCACAATTCCGGCTAACCTTCCAGAGCACACCTGTGAGAGACCAGCCCCTCCCCCACAAAAAGCCAGTACAGGGCTAATCTGAGCCACAAAGGGATGTGGAAGGACAGGGTTGCAGCAGAGGGCAATGAGGTTCACCTTGCTGCTGGAAAGAAAGGGAAGGCAGGCGGCCCAGGGCTGGAGAGATAAAATGGTTTGTGTTAAAGCTGGAAACAAACATTATTCCTGATGATTTTCATTCCACAAAGCAAACAGCAAAGCTGAGCCGCCACCTGGACACGGCTTAATCATTCTCTAAAAACAAAACTTGCCGTTAACCCTTCATCTGACCACGCAGGCAGCAATGGTGCTGGACAGCTAGAGCAGACAAGGGCGCTCGCGCGGCTCCTGGGAAGGAGACAGTGTCAAGAGCAGGAGGGATTTCTACCCCTGGGCAGATATCGGCTTGTACAGTATTTAATCCCAGCGACACCTGTGTCCTGTCTCATGCCACTAGTTCGACTAGGCCGAAGTGCCTGGCCTTTGTCTGGCCACCCTGGAAATGCATCATACTGGCCATCACGGCCAGCGCTTAAAGTGGTCTAGAAAAAAGTGGGAGGTCTCTCTTAAGGTGGAGCAACCGCTTTGGTAAGAGAGTGAGTAAAGTCCACCCTTCCGCAACCCGGCTTGATTTAAAAGAACCGCTGCTGGTCCTGTGACCCTTCGCGACCCCCACCCCCTTTAAGCACTGCCCACTGCAACTTCCATCTCCACGTCTCCTCCCTGCTCTCTACAGACCGAGTGGGAACTGTTTGCTCTGTTAGGGTAGGTGCTGTATGGCAGAATCCTGCTCCAAAGACCTTCCAGTCTAAAGGACACAATACAAAAGAAAGGCAAGGGGGAAGGTATCCGTCACGCGAGCAGAGGCGTCAGGACGACTGGCACGAGCGGCGTTTTGTTTGTGGTACACACACAGATGCCCTTGGTGAGCTCTTTGTGGAAGGGGCCCATGGCAGACGTGGCTGGGACTTACAGGAAGAGGGGTGTGGCCTGGTGTAGCAGCTCAAGAAGGGTGTTCCGGGAACAGCGTGGAGAGGGCCGGGGGACAGTCCTGCTGGCCACTCTTTCAGGACAGCCAGAATATTCGCAATCAGGGCTGGCAGCTGAGGCCTCCAGCAAGGGAATTTAGTAAGACAAGGGTTCTACTTATCTGGGATGCACGGGGCTAAGAGGAGGAGAAATCCCTAAGCACATGAGCGAGAATTTCCAGTTGAGAGGTTTATGGGAATGTGAAATCCAGACTGGAGCTGCCTGGATGGTCCTGTTCTTTAGCTTGTGACCTCACAGAGACAGGGGGACAGGAGCCTGAAAGGTGGGAAGGATTGGCCAGACAAGCTTCTGAAAATAAGCTTTGGAAACAGGTTGTATTTCCTATTCTACCCAGAGAACATATAACCAGGCAGCACCTGTAACAGGCCATGCAGCCGGAGAGAGCCCATTGACGCCCATAGCTTAGCTTGCCACACAGAGCAGCATGGCTGGCCACGGGATAGTAGGAGCCACTACAAATCCACCCGCCTTCCCAGTGGCTTAGAAAGGAAGAGGAGGATTCTGCCCATTATCATGCGGGGCTGTGAATGGCTGCACCGCCCAACCGCTTCCAGAAGTCCCCACTGAGGACGCACCACTCCCCCTTGGGGGTCTCTGCAGTTACAGCTGCAATACGGCCTTCTCTTCCCCCGGAAGGCGCCGATCCTCGCGGTACAAGGATGACTCTCCCTGCAGACAGCTGCTCACCTCTCAGAGCGCTTTCCCCTTAGTCATACCTCTCACGAGTGACCCCACAGTCACAGGAAGTGTTAAAATAACTTGGCAGGGCCCGGTTTTCCTTATCGAAAGCAACACAAAGGGAACTCTTCCGAAGGCATGTCGGGAAAATCCACCCAGGCCCCAGCACCCTGCAGCTTGTAAACTGGAGCACCCACACGAGAGGAGCCAACATCCCCCGAGGCGCCAGGAAGCTGCTCAAACCTCCTTTTCTCGGGGAAACTTGCTTTTCCGTGACCTAGATTCTTTGGGCTTCCAAGGGGCTGTCTCAGCATTGGCAGCGCCACTCCCTGCAGCCGCGCAGCGCCATGACAGACAGGGTGCAAGTACAGACGCCGGAGCCAGCATGCTTCATCCACAGGCAGCTCCCTGCACGCCCTTTCCTTTCAGAGCTTAACGTCTTTGGTGCCCGAGGGGAGCCACTGGGAAAACGTTCTGCAAGTGAAACGTCAGTCACTGCCCAAAGACCTCTAAGTGCCCACCCTGCCTTGGCACAGCAGCGCTTCCCGCCCCCCCGCCCCTCACATACAACATAGAGAGCGTCTCCAGGATCCCTGCATACGGCTTGCATCTCTCCCAAGCCAGGACTTGGGTCATCTTCTCTCGGATTGCAAAGGCCTTGCAAAGTGTTCCTAGCCACAAGCGCTGCACCATCCCGGATTACCGCACAGGAGTTAGGAGAAATACAAGACGGTCATCTCACTTTGGGTCCCCTCTGAAATCGCATGGGCCTCAACCCTCACCCTCCAGCGTGAAATGTAATGGTCTGCGCTATACAGGAATCCAGGCTTGATGAGCAAATGGTCCCTTTCTGGACTCAAACTATGAATCTATGAGCTCTGCACCACCCCAGATTACCACACAGACCCATTAGATTTCTGCCGATGCAGGAGCTCAGTCTTTATTTTTGTATCTCCCAAGCCTCCTCTTCTTCCTTAGATCTGACAATGCTGGAGCTGGCAGGAAGTCACGCGGTATGTCTGCCCATCAAATAGTGTCAAGGAACTCCTGGCTATTCATCTCCATCTACTCCCTGGAATCACAAAGAAAGGTCAGGGGAAGTTGGCTTCCAACCCAATGAACTGAGCAGAGGAGGAGGGGGAGACCTCTGTGCACACAGGGATACAGAGGAAGAAGCAGGTTGAGAAAAAGAGACAGCAAAGAAGTGAGGGAGCTCCGGACCCAGAGGGAGAGAGAGGGAGATGTGGAGTGACAGAGAGAGGAGGAGGGAGGGCTGG